GTACCCACTGTCATTTCCAGGTGAACTTTCGGTCACCCCCCCCCCCCCGATGCAAAAAACAAGCATCCAAAGCAGCATTTGGGAAAATTGCAAAAAAATCTAATAACAAATCAACTATAAACTATAACAAGTGATTATAAAATGGATCTTTAAGAAAAGTGTCATGGTATGACTTGTAGGCAAAAGTATTCACTGGAAAGAGTCAAACATGAACAGAACATGCACTAAACATCATCACATGTAAAAAAAGTTGTGTACTCAAGTGATGCTAGGACCATAAACTCTGCCTCTGCACGGACAGCAGTGCAGCCTAGTGGTCAGATGTTGTATAACCAGCTGGGCTGGTCATATAATGACTACAACCACCCATGTCATCATCATTAATCTATTCAAGAAAACTAAATAAGCAAGAGAAGTAGATGAAGCATGCAGCACAGTGCTGATGAGAGTCTGCTGATGGTTCACCTGAACTGTTTCTCGTTACACATGAACTGGATCAGTCCCTCCTCATTAGGCTCACTCCACTTCAAATCCACTGTGGAACAATCCACCACTTCTGGCTTCAAAAACAGCCCCCTGGCCTCTTTGTACAGCCAGTCCTCTGGAGCAGGGTGCTTCTGCATGAAGGCAAGCAGGACACACACAGAGAATCAGAACCAAACCACTTTGTTTAGCTTCCTGAATGTCTGGACTATAGCAGACATCAACTTACGCTGGGGTCAATGTTTTCCAGGATCTCTTCAATGCAGCCGTGCTGTCTGATCAGGTCGATGGCTCTCTTGGGGCCAATCCCCTTGATGGTGGCGCAGTAGTCACAACCCATCAGAATACACAGGTCTATGAACTAGGATGGACCACAAAAAGAGGAAGGAGTTAACACATGAAAGACCAAAACATCACTGCTGACCCAACTGTGTCTACACTTCCACAGCACATACACTTTATCATGTTATGTAATTAACCAGGAGAGCACTGTGACATTTCTCTGAAAGATGTGCGAGGGATGGTGACTCTGCACTGTAGCGTGACAGTTTGTGTGCACAGCCAGCATGGTAAAAGCAGAGGAAGTGGTTCTTCAATTTGACCCGATTAAAAAAAAAAGGCACTATGACGTTAATCAGATACAAACTTTACCTGTTCATTGGTCAGACCGATGTCCTGCAGGATGCGACTGAAGTGGAACTCTTGGATAGGAAGTTTCCTAAAACAAATAAATTCCATGATGTATTATGTATTGCAGAAAGGAGTACTTTATTATTATAGTGTTACTTGTGTAAAACTCTGCATATTCTGGTCACCTCTTCAGAGACTTTCAAATATAAACAATTATCCAAAAAGTATTTAAGATTAAGACAGTATGATATATGATAATTTAGGTTTGGCTCATAGTGAAACAAACAATATTGCCATCATCAAAGTTGTTCCTTATGAGTTTTGTTATCACTTTAATAAAACAGTGGAGAAAATGATGGGAACAGTACTACTCTATTGTATGTGATAACAAGAATGTTTGCCCCATTAAGCCACCAACCCAATTTTGGATAATCAGATAAAACTGTATTGATTCCAGATTGAATTTGCACCAAAATCAAAACATCAAGTGATCTCCATTCTCCGAACATCTCTGCTGCAGAGCCTATTTCAATTCTGTTCATATAGAGCAGGTCTAGACTGTACCCTTTGTAACATTATCTATAACAGACGCAACATTACTTGGCTTCACTGGCAGTGAGGTGTCTGAGCAGGACATTTGTCCCAAAGGTCAGCCCATCCATGTCCTCTGTTGCTGTGGCAAAGACCTTCCCTGCTTTAACCAGAGCAGCACAGCTGGCCTCCGCCTCACACGGAGCCTACAACACAAAACACATCAAATCACATTTCACAGAATTATTCACCCACACTTGTCTTGATGCAAGTGATTTCTCTGACACGGGGAAAGATACTTTCGTTTCAAGGCGTACAGAAGAGCAGCGGATATTTACTGTACATTAATGTCAAATTTAATCTCCACATTTACTGAGGGTGAGGACATTACTGTTCAGGCATCAAAGCAACAACAAAAATATACTTTTTATGCCTTTTTGCAAACTGTAATTCATTAACATTCAAATCTTTATGGCGCAATGTTACGAGCAACATCTGTTTATGTTTAAACATGACATTTTCTGTCTTGCAGAGCCTTTAAAGCCTATTCTAATGATGATAAAAATGTCAAGATGTCAGATTTTTCAAAACTGGTGAGCAAAATCACTGCCAGTGCAATTGTTGAAATATTCTTAAAGCCAACAAGAGTGGTGGCAAAGTGAGAGCTAAACTAACCTCAATGTAAGGCACTCCCATCAGGGTCAGCAGCTTCTTGCACTCATCGTTATGCTGCTTGGTGACTTTTACCAGACGCTTGGAGAATTTGTCAATATTCTCTTGTTCCCCTGGGTTTAGACAAAAGCAAAAAATTTGCAGACATTTTAATCAATAACCGACATAAAAATATATCGAAACATGCTTGCCCCCATTAACAGGGTCAGGGCCGCATAAAAACACAACACATTAAAGCCAGACCGGCACCATTCATGACATTGTTAAATTAAGTGCAAAAAGCATTAATTGTACCCATTTCCTGGGCTTGAGCGAGCTGCTTCTCAGCTTCTGCCCTCCTCTCCCCTCTCTTCTCCAGCTGGTGGGGTGAAGAGAAGTGCAAGGACAGTAAGAGAAAGTGGAAAAAAAAGAGTCAGATAATGTAGGTTACAAAAACAAAACAGAATAAATTTTCTTTAAATAGGAGTGAGAACATATTTAAGTCTGTAACATTTTTATAAAACACATTTTGCCCCTTTAAAAACAGATGATTTACACACCGACAGTTTAAAGGTGTGTTGGCGTTTACTGTTCCAAAAAACAGATTACAGACACAAACACCATAGCTAAACATGGTGAAGTGTGTCACTTTCAGAAACTCAGCCATCATCAACAAAAAGTTGATTAATGTCATAGTTCTGACCACACTGACTTACAGGTGAGGTGCAAACAACAGCATCACTACAAAGCAATGAAAATTAATAAAGGAGACCAATCTGCCACTTTCACAGAGACAGAAAGCAAAGAGAAAAGCCCAACACGAAATCAGAGCCCATACTAACCTCTGCTGACTTGAGCTGTGGGGGTTTGCCGTCAAACACGTACACAGGTTTGATGCCGTGTTCCAGCATGCGGATCGTCCGGTAGAACATTCCCATCAGGTGGCTGAGAAAAAGAGAAAGCAGGTAGGCAAAATTATTTCAGGCTTGTGCAGAGACTTGAGGTACCTGGTCTAGTATCCATCCAGAACTACCGTGTCTCTAATGTTTTTCCTAATATGACTTCTCAGTCTGAATTTTAAAGTGTCTGTATTGTGGGGGTTGTACCTCGTCGTCTCTCCATCCTCATTCTGCAGAACGTTCCCATCCTGTCGCACAGCGATCAGGAACTGGTAGATACACATGGAGGCATCTATTGCAATTTTCCTGCCTGCAAAAGTTCAGAAGAGTTGTTAAGGTCAAGGTTAAATTTTATCGTCCCCGAAGGAAAATTGGCTTGGGCACAGAGCATTGTTGTATCATAAAAAATAAAAATTACAAAACACGTCACAATACGTCAACAAGAACTTGATGAAGTAGTTGCAAATTATTTGGCATGTCCAAACAGCAGGCGTTATCAAAACAATGAGGTCAAGTCTAACAACTTCCTTAACCATCTATAACCTGGTTTCTATGTAAGCCTTTATTCACTACATTATAAAGGCTAGGTAAAGTATTTATTCTATCATTTGCCCACAAGTTCAAACCTGCATTAAAAGAGGTGCTGTGGTATTCATGAAACTCACTACTAAAGGATTTACAACCAAAACCGCTGAAGCTCTTTGTGTTTAATGAAGAGTCATATGACTAAATATGAAAACATGTCCCCGTTTTGTTAAAACACAAAGAAAAGAAAGTTTTGAAACCTCAATTTGAAACTAATACTACTAAGCAAACCTATTAAGCTTTATTTTGATTAATCTTGCATCTTTGTTGTATCCCCAGCATTGACCGAATTTACCCAATTCATCCATCATTAAAATTTAATCTGATCTCATTTAAATGTAGGGAAAGGGACCTTAAAGGCACAGATACCGAAGTAGCTCTTGATGTCTTGCTCTTTAATGGCACCAGGGGCCTGGTCAGCGATCAGCTTAGCAAGTCCTTGTATTCCCATTGTGTTAGGCTGAGGTTCAAACGCAAATCACCAAAGTCTGAAAAACAATTAAATCATGTTAATGGATTCTACAGTCATAAGTTACAGCCATCCTGGCTACACAAATACATGGTGCACAAGGCTTGAGCTCATCCAGCGTTGACAGAAACGGGAAAGCAACAACATCACACGACTCAGCTTTAAAACATTTTGTTTACATATGTACTGCTTTGTCGCATGCACGCCGAATTGAAAGCTATCTACTGGTAACAATTAGCACATAACGTAAGTAATGTTCAAGGAGTGTGGATGTACAGAAAAAAACGCCACAATAAATTGTCGATTTTTTAAAAGAAGTGTGGTTGCGGTGATATAACGTGTCCTGGCAAGCTAACTGCTCGTGTGGCTAGTTGGGAGCTAAGACATTAATAACGTCTCATTTATTCACAGTGTACATGGTAACAATTTTAGTCTCTATATTTACACTGTGAATTAGGTTAAACCGTTTAAATGTTTATAACAGACTCACCAGTTGAGTTTGGGCACTTGTCCCGGCGTCTCGAGCGCGAGGAACTGCGTTTCTTTCGCGGGAAATCAAATAGCAGGCATTGCCTATCGACGTATCGAGCACGGCGTCCTAAAATACGTGGAAGAACTGTGCATCGATTGTGCCGGAATGATTAGAAAGGTCTGAAGTCTAACAAGGAAGTACTGGAAGGGCAACCGATTGGTTCATTGAGGTTGAAGGAAATCCGGTCATCCAGCAAAATAATAGAGTCGCTCAGGTAATTTAGGGGCTCAAACCGTCTAAATGTTGGTTTTCGGTAGCGTTAAAGCACGGAAATAAACAACGTTCATTACAAATGCCTTGTGAGGGCGAAATATTACCGGCTGCGAATAACCGGTAACGTTGGTTGTGTATTTTTGTTTCTCCGCCCACTCCGGAAAACTCAACCGAGTCGTCGTATATTTTTATTTTTAAGGTGACGTGGTCGGTCCCCTCTTCCACACTGTCTCATTTGTCAATAAAAGTACTTGGTGTACCCGGATATGAACGCGATGAATGTATAATACGTCGGGAGTTGGGACATCGCATCGAGGATTTCCAGGATGTTCAGCTGTAAATCTTTACATTGAGCTCCAGTATCGGCGCATACGGGAGCAGAGAAGAGACTGTCGGGGCCTGGAGTCCGAGGAAACCAGCGAAGAGACAGGTTTAGTTGGATCTGCAGCATCGGGACTGAAGTGACACAACGGGGATACTGGTAGTGCAGATTTTCCCAACTTCTTGTCTGCGCTCATTTGCTGTGGGAGTAGGACTTTAGTGAGTTGGGGCCCAGAATGAAATTGTAACGTGCCTCTTTAGAGTAAAGCAGTGTTGATGTAGACTAACTTGTTTGTTTGACATGAATCAGTCAGGCCCCTCATTATAGTTACGTTTTTTCCACAGAATCTTCAAGACCAATGGGATGACCCCTGGTTTTTTGTGGCACTTGGATACATGACCTTGCTCCTACTCTTAGTGCAGTAAATTGTGCTATAGTATATTTTAGTTGACCAGATGACTAGACTAGATTATTTACTAGATTTACGATTTAGATTTAGATGTTATCCTTTGTTTTTAATGGCTGTCCTGGCTCTAAAAAGTGCAGCTGTGCTGCTCCCCTGAAGAGGCATAACAGGAGTCTCCAGAGCATTCAAACTTGTTCTTCAAGGTTAATACTGAAAATCAGCTTGATGACGGGCAAAACAGAATGGACATTGTTATCAGCTACATTTGAATTGCATTAAAACAGCAACATACCGACAAACGCACACATTTTGCATTGCTTTGCCATTTGAGAAGAAATGCCACATCAGTGCTATGGATGAACTTTTAAATAACCCCTTATTTATATCCTACCCCAAAAGAGATGATACCTGCTTTGTGTTTTGAGGTTGGGGACTAGTCATGTGACAAAATTAGTACGGCTAAACCTTTGCTTTTAAATAGTATCGGTAGGTTTTTAGTTTTGAAGTAAGTTTGCCTCCTTGCTGCTATCACAGGTCTTTCCTGAAATAAGAAATGTCAAACAACAGTGCTGTCAGCTTTGTACTTCGTGTAGCATCATCATTTCATTTTCCCAGTTTCCCAATACATTTTGAAATTGAAAGCAACATCATAATCAGGTATTCAGGGGAGGCCCCTGTAGTATTCAAAAGAATAAATAGATTAAAAGAGAGTACCTTCTATGGGCAATGTCACTTCATGTATATTCTTACAAACACAGACAGATAAAAATGGACAGCGCTCATTTAATTCCAGTCAAAAAGCCTCTCTGGACTGATGAAACTGATGAAATACATTGCAATCATTCCACAGTATCTCACAGTTCTGCCTGAGTGTTTCTCAATTTTCTGCTGCGGGTGTTAAAACGTAAAGGGAGTGACGTTGCATAAATGCCATTTGACATATAAGTCGTCACATATTGGTCTAAATTGCTTGACTTGAAATGAACGGCATTCTGTAAGTCTCAGGGCAGACGGTCTAGTTTAAATCACACCTGTCCCTCGTGAACTGATGAAGTGTCCATCTTTGCAACAGGGGTTATGCAGTGTGGAATAGGACACCTGCCAGGTGGCTGCCAGAGGACGATGGGCCTGCACTGCGTCTTGATCCTGTACTTGTTCTCAGGCTTGGTGGTGGGCTACAAGCAAGGGGACAACGTGACTCTCTATGTCAACAAAGTGGGCCCTTATCATAACCCCCAGGAGACATATCACTACTACACCCTGCCTGTTTGCAGCCCGGAGAAGGTCAGTCTTTGTTTTGTTTCTCTGTGTATTAACGGGCTGCTGTAATTCACAGATGAACTGGAGGTTGTTTTGTCATGCTAAATGTAGACACTAGTGTTGGGAAAACACCAAGTCTCATTATTTCTCATAAATCAGCTTTTCTCTGAACGGTACTGTATCTCCATCTGGTCTTAAAATTAAAATGTTGTCATATAAGATTTAAGTAAAGGTCCAATGAATGTCTCTAAGGTGGATTATCACAAAATCTATAAATACATTTGAAATTACGGGAGGAAAAATAGGTGGTATTTTGCTATAAAAATGTATTTTTCACACAGTATAACACTTTAAATAATTTACCCAGACACACAAGGTAATTATATAGAAATAAAAAAATTGTGAGACCTATTTATCCACCTATTGGCTGTTGGGAGAAGGCACCTGCCAACATAAGCTTGTTCCTTTTGTTTAAGGTGACTCAGAAAAGTCATTATTGGAAGTGTGATTGTTTTGGTGGCAGTGGCGACCCAAATTTACAATAGTAGTACCTTATTACCCACCATTATGGGATATGGTACTTCAACAACAAGCATCCGGCGATGAAGTGTGATTGTAGCCAGCTGCGTTTTTGCTTTCAGTTTGCCTGCTATAACTACCTCATGGAGTATGTGTTGTTTTGAAATCACTTGCCCACACAGAATTATGACCAACGGATGCTTTGTGCTGCTCTTTTACACTCCGTTTCTCATATTGTAACACCTCTTCGTCAGGTGCATCACAAGTCCCTGAGTCTGGGAGAAGTGTTGGATGGTGACAGGATGGCAGAATCCTTATATCACATCCGATTTAGAGAGAACGTTGAGAAAAAAACTCTTTGCAAGCTCATTCTTTCAGAGAAACAGGTATTTATTCACACAAGGCCGGGATTGTTTGAACACTTTACACTTTATATATTACCACACATCTTGGGTAAAGTTACAATGCTGTGGAGCCAAATGTTATTTAAACTGTTAATAATGTATTAAGTAGCTTGATTTTTAAAAGGTAATCTGTGTTGAACTTGCTCTGCTACATCACCCTTTTCTCCAGGAATCCAAAGAGAGAGAGAACCATTTGCTTGAGCAAATCATCATCAAAGCAATCATAATTATCAAAAATGGCCTTGGTCTTGCAAAATCTACCATCCAATTAACAATTTATGACATACAGTAGTTTCAACTTAAAGGGTAACTTTTTTTGTAACATGTTTTTGTCTTTATGACTAATTGGGACATTCATTTTTTAATATTTGTCCAGTATTGAGGGAGTGTTTTTGCCACTGAAGGGCTCAGATTGTTATTACAAGTGTCTGACAACATTGTGGAAAGGATCCCTACAGAGATAGACCTTTTTTAAAGAATAAAATCTTTTTTGTTTAAATAGAAACAGCCGCTATATCGCTCTCGTCAAAGCCACTGGACTCCCTGCCTCGCTCGGTTAGTTTGTGTTATTGTGTGACATTTTATTACCACTTTTTATAGTAGTAGTAATATTGAAAGTACTTTTGGTAATTATGATTGCTTAACATTGCTCAACATTTCCTCAAGCATATAGTTAGCAATAGTTCTCTGTCTTTTTCTGGATTCTGGAGAAAAGGGCGACGTTGTAGCAGAGCAAGTTCATCGCAGAACACCGACAGCAGGCTCAGTAATAATGTTCAATGAAATAAACACTTAAAATACAGGTCAAACCACAAAATATATGGGACATGATCGAGGATGTTTTTTGTGTGTGTCAGGTGGACCAGCTTCGTGAGGCCATCGAGGAGCTGTTTTACTTTGAATTTGTCCTGGATGACATTCCAATCTGGGGGTTTGTGGGATACATAGAGGAGAGCGGCTTCCTGCCTCACAGCCACAAGGTAAACCTGTTGTGCTCCTGAGGGTTTGTGGGATATGTGGAGACACAGAGAACCACAGAGAGACTTTGTAAGTTTGTTAAAGGTTTTATCTTTATGCAAAGTTCCTGTTCCAGTTGAATTAAACTCACTGTTTACTCTTCTTATGTCGCACTTTCTCCTCCCTTCTCTCTATTGTTCCGTCTCTCTCTCTCCTCTCTTCTCTCACCTCCAACAGGTGGGTTTGTGGACTCACCTAGACTTCAACATCGAGTACAACGGCGACTCAGTGATCTTTGCCAATGTCTCAGTAAAAGATGTCAAACCTGTTCCCCTGGAGGAGGGGGCGGGGGCAGTGGTGGGCGGAGTCGGATTGGGCGGAGGCGGCCTAACGGTCACCCACACCTACAGCGTGCACTGGTTCGAGTCCCCTCTCCCTTACGCCCGGAGAGCCGAGCGCCTTCGAGACTACTCGTTCTTCCCCAAAACACTGGAGATCCACTGGCTGTCCATCATCAACTCACTGGTGCTGGTGGTGCTGCTGCTGGGCTTCGTCATCATCATCCTCATGCGGGTCCTTAAGAATGACTTTGCCAGGTTAGTCAGCGGACAAGCTCAAGTGGTTATTTCTGAGCCACTGTATGTGAAACTTTGTTTCATGTCTTTAATATGAAAGGTAAGACTAAATGAAAGGCGGATAATGACTTCAACGCACCGTCAGTACAAACCAGCATCATGTTGAGTAATAAAATAAAGCCTTAAACAAAGACATAAAGGCTGTAAAGGATATTAAAATACCCATAATATAGTTCTAAGAGGTTTTATTTTTTTAACAATGCAATAACAGATTAATCAACTGACAGAAAATTAATCTACATCTAATTTGATGATTGTCATTTGTGAAGCAAAAATGCCAAACGTTTGCTGGTTCTAGCTTCTGAAATGTGAGGATTTGATGATTTTACTTAATTTTATATCACTTTAACTTAACTATCTTTTTTTTTTTTTTACTTTTTGTCCACCATAACAACCAATTTGTCCCACCTTAGGGGTCTAGGAAATTTTACTATTTTTCACTATTGTCATTTTATAGACTTATCAATCTTTTGTGAAGTTGAAAACACATTGATCAGTTACAAATAAAGTAGGTGTAATCCTGAAGTGGTATAAGGTTTGATATAGTATCTTGTTTCTTCTTAAAGGTGGAGTAAGCGATTCGGCGAAATCCAACACCTTAACAACATAACGACATAGGGCGTACACAGCATGACACTGCAAGTAATGTTACTGACGTTAGCTAAGTTGTGGGTTAGCAAACTGTCACTACCGCTGCTGTGAAGCTAACATGCAGAGAGGACGAGTCAGCACACCAGCTCCAGACAGCGATACTCACAACTCTCCTGCTACTGTAGATAACATCACAACAGCAGCATGTCTTGGCAAACTGGGAAATAAGCTGAACATCTGTGGGCAAGTCATTTGACGTTACCTGACACCAGCTCATGGCTCGTCACAAGGACTTATACAGGGCACTTTCCAGGTTCATGTTCATACAGACTTTTAAGAACGAACCAAGGGCAGTAAATGTGAATGTTATACAGATCAACAAGTAACATATTTGACAGTTTTGGCGAAAATATTTTGCATCATCAGCGCATCTTCAGGACCCACTTTTGTTGCCTCTTACCTGTTATCTTGAGATGAACATGTAGCCAACCAACTAACTTTCTTTGATATTAATGGCGCTGCATATGATTTGTCTTAAATAGCTCAGGCAGCCATTACAATATGATTATTCATAAAGCATCTATTGAACATAATTATTGTTATTATTGTGGCAATAACACAGGAGCAGCTAATTGTCACAGCCTACATAGTGAGAAACCTGTGCGTGATGCATAAAGCCCCACAGGAACGTTTTATCCACCCATATTTGCTCTCTCCCTTCCTCTCAAAAATAATTGTTTCCTGAATAAACAACAGATGTTAGCCTACTGAGTGAAAGCCAAGATCAGTTTCACATGCCACATTCGATTTAATAAATTCACTGTTGGGCATTATGGAGGGCGGAGTCTGCCGCAAATGAATATGAATACAGAAATAAAAAATGCTCCATGCAACAAAAAAAAACTGTTCTGATGCCTAGTCTGTATTTATTTATTCTTTAGCCAAATCATCTGTTACTACGGAATAGACCATCTGCTTCATGTTTACACTGGCACGCGCATGCCCAGTGCACCTGAACGGGTCCTAGCTGTGCATTTTCAGTCGTTTTAATGTAGACAGAGATCAACTCCAAAACGCAGTGGAAACGCTGGTGTGGACAGAGATCGTATTCGTTTTAATTCTCTGTTTGTAAACTAAAACAGAGTAGTGTGGATGGGGCCCTAACTATTGGGCTATTAGTTAGTGGCATACACGGACACAGAACTGCGGTCAAGTATGTATGTATGTCATGTATTCCAGCCTTTATGGTGAATGCACTGAAACGGAGTAGAGCGAGCTGACAGGCAATGTTAGTGACTTTATTCTGTTATTTTCTCACTTTATAAAGATAAATGTGAGATTCCTACCTGAAGAAAGGTTATGAAGTCTTAATTGTACGCAAAACCAGCAGCACATACAATATTTCCCATTTACAGAGCCAGGGCTGAGTACAAACATAGTTAAAAAAAAAAATTTTCCAGTACACACACAGAAGAGACAGCTACTGGACCCTGAGGAGATATTTGCTGAATTTGACAAAAAAACTTTTATTTGTTAAGATTCGCTTACCCCACCTTTAAAGACGTACATTTAATTTGTGCACACAAATCACCCTTACCCATACGGACCTTAATTCATATTGATCAACTTTCATCTCAAGGTGAAAATTGTGGACAACTCCTGCAGTCTTTCTGCCTGTCCAGGTAAATGATAACATCCTGGGTGAATGCTTTTCCCCTTCCTTACCTGCAGGTACAATGTGGAGGAGGAGGGCGGCTGTGACGATCTGGACCAGGGAGACAACGGCTGGAAGATCATACACACTGACGTCTTCAGGTTTCCCCCTTACAGGAGCCTGCTGTGTGCCGTGCTGGGCGTTGGGGCTCAGTTCCTTACCCTTGCCACAGGTGAGCATTACTCTGATACACCCAAACACAGCCACACACACACACGGCTGAACGTGGACAAACACACACACACACACAGGTCTAAAACACTAGGGACTGACATTGTTCTGTTTGAAAGTTGAGCAGACTAGTCCTGTGCAGCAATGACCCGTAGCGACAGCCTTTGTACTAAACAGCAAAGTGACATAACAACTAGAAACCTGATAATGTTTATGGCACGCAGGTCATAAGGACAGATTTTTACATGCTGAAGTCTGATCACTCTTAACGTTTCACCTTAGGAATAATCGTCATGGCATTGCTGGGAATGTTCAACGTGCACCGCCATGGCGCAATCAACTCTGCAGCCATAGTCCTGTACGCCCTGACTAGCTGCGTGTCCGGCTACGTGTCTTGCAGCTTCTACACACAGATCAGTGGCCAGCGCTGGGTGTGGAACATCATCCTCACCTCGTCGCTCTTCTCCGGTGAGTCTGATAAGGAAGGTTGGTTGTAAGGTGAAGGTCATAAAGCACTCATACATGTCCAAGTCCTCGCGCCCGTGTTTTCAAGCAAGATGGTTCACGCAATGTTTAGTGTAAGCTGGTATCCCTCCACCTCTCTGTTGAGGAGCAGTCATCAATAAAGTGGCTCAGTTTCACTTCTTTTCTTTTCCAGAAACTTTTCCTAAAATAAACTTTAAGTGTGTTTTCTCAGTTTATGGAAAGATAATTTGTCTGTAATGGGTTCAGATCATCTCTCTAGCAATAGCTTGATGTTTATAAACCCATTTATCTCCATCCGTCGTCCATCCTCGCATAGTTTCCCCTTTATTTTCTCCTGTCTCTCATCAGGACTCAAGTTTTTCCCCCCTGAATTTATCCTCTAAGCATTAAAACTGTCTTTGCAAAATCAGGTAATCAAATATTGTCAATGAGGATGCTGGCCATTTCTATTTACAGTACTATTGTTGTTTATTCCTGGTCTTATTAAGTAATTAAGCTGCCATATCTCATTGTATTTTCATTTTTAAAAATCCCCATATAATGTGTTATTTTCAGGATGCAAAATTTCTCAATCATCTGGAACACTGCCGTATTTATTCATGTGGTCATTCATTCCCACAGCTCCTCTCTTCCTTACATGGAGTGTAGTGAACTCGATCCACTGGTGGAGCGGCTCCACTCAGGCTCTGCCGGCCACCACCGTGCTCCTCCTGCTGGGTGCCTGGGTGCTGGTGGGTTTCCCGCTCACTGTCATCGGCGGCATCGTGGGAAAGAACCGGGCTGGCAGCTTCCAGGCGCCCTGCCGCACTCGCAACATTGCCCGGCAGATCCCTACACAGCCCTGGTACAAACACACGGCTGTGCACATGGCCATCGGCGGCTTCCTGCCTTTCAGGTGAGCTTCGTTCAAGGGGGAATTTAGAGGCATAAAGTCCTTCCTCTCCATAAAGCAGGGAAGTGAATATGAGAGGATTATCAGTAAACAGGATATTGTACATGAAGTTATTTTTATGTGAAGAATTGTGATGTAGGTGACTTTTATTGTGAAATAATGAAAATTCATAATGGCTTGGAAATGTTAAGTTTACTCTCTAAATGTTTACAGTTTAAGTGATACTTTTCTGTCGTCTTGCATTATTTAATATATATGTATATATATGCACTAAAAGTGCAGACTGTTGAATTTCATTTTTCAATCTTCTCCCTCAGTGCCATCTCAGTGGAGCTGTACTACATCTTTGCCACCGTTTGGGGCAGGGAACACTACACCCTCTATGGCATCCTGCTGTGCGTCTTCGCCATCCTCCTCTCAGTGGGCGCCTGCATCTCCGTGGCGCTCACCTACTTCCTGCTGTCTGGCGAGGACTACCGGTGGTGGTGGCGCAGCGTGCTCAGCACCGGCTCCACCGGCCTCTTCATCTTCGTCTATTCTGTTTTCTACTACCGGAACCGGTCGTCCATGAGCGGCCTGGTGCAGAGCACGGAGTTCTTCGGCTACTCTCTGCTCACGGCGCTGGTCTTCTCACTGATGTTGGGCAGTGTGTCGTTCTGGGCCTCACTGGCGTTTATCCGCTACATCTACCGTAGCCTGAAGATGGACTAGATATGAAATGTGCACAAACAGACACAGTGATAAACAAACATTCCCTCATAGCACACACGGACAATCCTCATTTCTTGTTATTTCAGTCATACTCAGGCTGCGTCCGAAAAGTCTTTTTTGCTTAGGAAGGTTCCTAACTGAGTAGCAGCAGCTACTGGCAGCCATGATAACAGCTGGTCGAATTCTCTAAAAGCCTTCCTTTCATATCTCCTTTAGCATATCCTTTACGAAAGGAAAGGAGAGAATGCCGTCCCACAATTCCTTGCGGTGGCAACATTTAAAGCGACGCACGTCCTCAAACTCAAACGATAAAATTCATCAACCTCATTTAGCAAAATCCTTCCAGTACAGATGCACATTATGATACTTGAATAAGACTCTCACAATTTCCTTCTTTGTTTTGGTTTGTTTTCTTTTGGCTTTGCTGTAATCTGATACTGTTTCAACACAGTTTTATGTTTCAAATTGTTGAAATATGCTATAAAGGGTTTTCTACTATAATAAAAAAGAGAAATCACCGACCATGAGGGATAAAGGATGTTGATCACTATGTAGGTTACCATTGGCTATTAAGCCTTTTCTCTCTTATGCCATAACCCCCTAACATGCATATGTCTTGAACTGTCAACAATAACTGAGACCCATGCCCGCTGTCTTGTAACATGATCAAAGTGAGGATGATGTTGTAGCATGTAGCCTCATGTTATGCATAGGCAGCCTTCAGCAATATCGTTAACTGATTTTACTTCAGTCACAGATGCTGACACCCTCGCCTTAATAAAGGCAATGATCAAGCTGGATGAGCTGTACATTAAATGTAATGTATTATTTCAGTGTTTCCCACACACTGATTTATAACGCTGACCACATTTTCTTACTATCTAAAATGGTCAGCGCATTTATTTGCTCAGCACCTCCTCTCCCTCGCGCGCTCCCTCTCTCTCTCTCAGTTGAGAGAGTCTTTCTGTGGTAAACACTACAAACAATAAATGGGATTCATGTTGATAAATATGGGCAGGGTGAGTGTGAGCAAGCTTTCTCAATGTGACAACCCTTTCCATTATTTTTGACAGGTACCCTACAGGCCTATTTGCTATCTTGATTATGAAGTTCTAGTATATTCCACCGTGTTGTCCACCTTTAGATGGCCTGCCTTAAAACGACAGGGGGCGCAGTGTCAGAGATGCGCTTTTTGTAGTCCATCTTCGGAACATTGTAGTTTCATCACCGCAGGTCACGTGAGTAACACCCGCCGTCGCATAATTACGTTGCCAAGAAGATAGTCGGGTTCTCTGAGCCCCACGGTCCTCTTTTCCTAAGTCATGGATTCTCCTTCACATCTTTCCTTGACCTCATGGCGTTTTCCATCAAGGCCAAGGAAAAGTGGTTAGGAAAGGATTTTTTTTTTTTTTTTTACTTTTCGGACGCAGCCTCAGACAACCTACGGGGTTAATGGGAGGAACAGGGGCCTTTGATTTGACAGGATCTAATGATTGAGCTAGAGTGGCCACTGGACTAGGGATTAGCTGGATAGATGATGGGTGAGCTGGGGAGAGGGGATCATGTATGTAAGGATAAAATGGGATATTTTGGTAAGAAGGGACGAGTGTCCCATTAGGAATGAATGAGTATGAGATACATGTGTGAATGAGTTTAATCGTTGTATGATGCAATGTGGCATCATCTACTCTGGTTCCTACCCTGATCTACACAGCGTTTCCCGCATTACACTTACCAACTGAGACAGCTGACTCATACTGTATTTGATTTATTATGCAGTCGTGTAAGTGCTATTACTTGCACTTATACTCCCCCTCACATACAATTGTGGCAGTCTGTTCAAATGAAACATGTTTTGCACTGGCCTTGTAATGGATGAGAAACGATGCCTTGTAGATTGAAGATCTGTTGGTGAGGGAGCAATATAGTCATTGTATTATATGGTCGCCACTGACTGATGTAAATATAGTCTTTTCAATAAAATGCTTTTTAATACAATATTGAAAGCCACCAAAGTATTGGCTGATTTTTCCCCCCTGATTCTTTTTACAAGGGTCTGTACTAATTGAACATCCTTTATAGCCTATTAACAGCATGGTATCTCTACCTCCACCTCCACCACAAAAATGCTACACTTCCACTACCTTTGCAGCGTGTTTTAAGTTTGAACAACCCAACTACTCTTGATGGCATGATCAGAAGCCTTTTCACTTTTGGCCAGACATCAGGTCAAATGCAATTAACAATATAATCAAAAATTTGAGAAAGCAGTGCATACATTTTATCAAAATGTTACCATATGATAATGTTCTCAGTAAAATAAAAGACAACAACCTTTTAAAGTTAACCTGTATTTATAGAAAAAAAATTGCATTGAAATGTGGACAGCAGAGCTGTATCAGTACTTTGCATTAAACAGTTCCAAAAAACAGTTATTCAAAGACTGCATCCAACTTGGACACATCTGGTATCACCAAGCGTAAAGAACACACCAACATACATTAAATAGTTGCATATAAAAATAAAACTTCAAGATTAAAAAAAAAAAAAAAGTAATACTTTTGAACCGGAGTATGAACAATGCTTATGTACACCCAGGCTGGAAAAATACCCCATAATTACAAACTACAGTCAGGAAACTTGAATAGAAGAATATCAACACCACTGTTGGGTAACATTTACAGAAAAGCTTTTGTGATCATCAGCTCAGACCTCGACCACCAGCTGGCACTATGTACTATGGCTGCGACTGTTAACAGGATCCCCATCTTTGCTTTCAAAGCTCGTGTCGTGTCCGGTGTTATTTGCAGATGCAATGCTGGTCAAGTTGAACGCATTGGGATTGTATTCATAATGGCCGACTCCTGGGGGCATGGACCAGCCAGGCGTCTGTTGCCTGGTGGGCACTGCAGTCGGGGGTGAGCTGGAGGACCACGGGGCGTAGCCAGTAGGTCCAGCAGCAGAGCCCATAGCAGCCAGATAGAAGGCCAGGTTCTGAGGAGTTGTCTTCTTCATGGCTGCCTCCATCATGTGCTGGTTGTAATGCTCTTTCAGCTGTGGCAGCACCTCTCCCTGATACTGAAGGACAAACAAGTTGTAGTTCAAATTAGTATCCAATTTAGTCACTTATATAGTTACAGTACATCGATTGACAGTGTTTCGTCTCGCCTTTAAGGCCATAACCGGACTACGGTTAGGCCTCCATTATGGACGTCTTGTTCTATGTCCAAGCTGCTGTTTCTCTGTTATCAGTTAACAAGAAACCCGGGCAGGACAATAGTCTGATTCCACTTTAACGGCCTCCCATCTTTTTAAGCCATTTTAGTTACTGTTCATTATAATATAAATGAAATGTACTTTTTGAAAACATATTCAAAATACATTATGAATATAAAGAAAGTAAACAATTGTAACCCCCACTGACAATGTGTGTTATACGCTACAAAAAAGGGGGGCTACTTACAGGTGGGATGTGTGAGGGAATATTGGTGAAGATGGTTCCACAAATTGTGTTGTCCTTGTTGTTGGTGTTGTAGCGCTCAGACACCCAGCTGGTGTCTTTCTGGTGCCTCCTTAGCTTCATCCTTCGGTTCTGGAACCAAGTCTTAACCTACAGACAAGAGGAAGGAGATCCAACAGATGAGAAAGTACACTTAAATACAAGTTTTGCAGATGATGTGATCAAACAACCTTCTTAAATCCCTCACCTGTTTGTAGGTCAGCCCTGTCAGTTCTGCTAGGTTCTTCATTTCCGCCGGGGTGAGGTACCTCTGCACACTGAAGCGCTGGACAAGAGTATTCATCTGACTCTCTGAGAAGGCTGCCCGGGCCTTTCCTTTGGAGTTTTTCACAGCAGTAGTGCTTGGCAATTTTGGGGCAGTTAACGGTACAAGTAGAGGGGTAGTGTTGTTGGTGCTCTCACTTCCTGTGACAGCAAAGGTCTCTGGCTCGTCCATGAGAACGGCTGAGACAGCCTCGCTGGCATCTGGGCTCCTGACACCTGGCTCATCGTCGAGATCTTTCTTTGCCCAGGTAGCAGGGTCTGTCTGGGGGAGGCTTCCTTCTCTGCTGCTCACAGAACTCCATGAATCTAAGTGAGGGGGAAGAAATGATGAGCACAAGCCACCCTGTTAAAATGGGTCAGAGCATGTGAGGTTGTTCTTGTACAATACTGGGAGTCCACCCCCATAGACAGTCTCCACTGCAATGAAATGAAATTCTCATGCAACAGAAAACTCCAATGTAAACTCTGCCCCATATATGAGCATTTAGCCTGTAAACCATTGTGCAAACCAGCTGTTAAATTTTTTGACGATATTCCCAAATTCTGTCGCGAGATGTCGCCACTTCGCTTTTGTCAGAAGGACTCAGTAAAATCCGTGGCGGGATATTTGGGACACACTTTTACAAATCAAGATGGAGCGGAATTGGGCTTCGTGGCTAATTCTGGGGGAAGAAATCGTCACTTTAAGCAGCCAACGAGGATATGTAAGCACTTAACACACACACATCCATGACATATGGCCTTAAAATATGTAGTTTAAATGTTGCACTTTGCGACAGGCCCAAAGAGGTCCACTGACCTTCTCTGCTAGCATCAACTTAGCTCGTGTGGACATGTCTGGTTTAGATCAGGACTAACTTAGATAACGTTACCTGGGGATGTGTGCGCCTCCGAGTCACTGGTTGAATCGCTCCCGGCCCGCCTGGCCTCATGTGCCCGTGCGTCGTAGGCCGCCCGATGCGTTCCTGTTCCGGCCAGGAGCAGGCGGCCTGCCTGGGGGTCACCGAGGTACACCACCCCGGAGCCCTGGTAATGACAATGGCCGTCCACGACGTGCTGCTCCGGGCTGCCAGGCGGGGACTCCTCGCGGGTCCTAGCGGCGGTGGCGTAGTAGGCCTGTGTCATCCCGGCGTTGTAGTTGCTCAAATCCGTGACTCCAGCGTCGCCCCAGCCGTTCAGGTTCCCGTGGTTTTGCTCGGGCCCGGATTGGTACACGAGGCCGTAGGCGTAGGCGTGATAAGGGTGGTTGTAGTTGTAACTTATCTGCGACTTCCAGTCTGCCATTTCTTTCTCCGTGTCGCGATAAAAAGGTAAAAACACAATGATTTACAAGAAAAGCACAAGTATTGGTGACAAAACGACTTAAAATCCGGTAGGAAGCGGCAAATAACAGCAATGACCTGTGCTCTTAAAACAAGCAAGGTCTTCCGACTTCAAAAATTGCGCGTTACCTCTCAGTTTTTAAAGACGTGTGTGGGCAGGGTGGAGGTGGGTGTTTGATTTGAGCCAATCTCTTCGATACGCCCCTCACGGACTGCAGTAGTGCCATTTCATTGGCCACCGAGGTTCATCCTTTGTTTTTAAATGTTATTATTCATGTCTGGAGAAAAAAACAACGGGAAGTTATAATAACAGTTACTAAATACTTTTTTAATTAGCCCACTTTTTTAACACTATCACCAAGCGCTACATTAAAAAAAATGTTCAGAGTGTATGTAGATACACTGAATGAATAAAATTGCTTTATCTTTCTTGTAGTCAGTGATGTCTTATCATCATCAACTGAACCTGGGATCAGACAAAGTATAATGTCCCACATTGTTACACATGCGTTTTAGTGGATTGGAATTTTTGTCCAGGCTGGATTACCAAAATAGGCAAAGCCGACCATTACTCCAGAGCCCCATATTCACTGTGTGACAATAGTTTTGTGGTTGTTTCATTAAATGTCATTTTGATTGGGAATGTGAGTATGGGCTGCTCAAACACAATATCAGCTTGTACATTAAGAGCCTTGAGGTGGGTCTAGCTTCTTTACCTGATGTTGAGGACCTGTGTTGAAGAGCGTTTGTGTGTCAAGATCTAGTTTCATTATTTCAGGTCATACTGTGCTTACATGATGCATATCCCCTAAAGGAATCTGTGTTTAATCAAAGTTTCGCACAGCACACCTTGAGCTCTGTAATAGTCCAGCATAGGAACACGGTACATAGCCTAATGCAAGCGGGAGAAACAGGGCACCTAATCTTTGTCTCTTGACAAGCTTTTTAAAACTTAGATAGTCACGACCGGTGGTGTTTTGTGCTTGTTTTTGTTTAAGCAGCGCACATTCAGCCATCAGACGCATCTGTTATATCCTCCAATAAGGAAAGGGCTGTTGTGCTGATAATAAAGCTCAGGAAAACAGGATATTTTTACAGCATCTTGAGCACTGGCGTACAAAATAAACTTCCCTACCTGGATAAAAACATGGTGCACAAGACATATGGGAAAACAGGTTTTTGTGATCAGACAGTCTTACATTCCCTCTAATATCACCCCAACAAAATAAGCATATGCTCATTAAACATAACTTAGTAACAAAAAGGGGCTATCCTAATATAGATTTTCAAGTTATAAATAACATTCTGCCTTGTCAGCAAATAAGCTTCAGTGCTTTCTAAACTTTGGCTAGAAGTCTATTGACTCCCCCAATGGCACAATTAATTGTGTTTTAATGAGCTTCAGTCCCAGATCTAATAAAAGAATAGACTAAATATAGTATCTGGGTCTCAAGCATGAATAGCTTAAATGAACCACTAATACTTCTTATTCAGTGTTAGTGTTGATGCTCAAGAAATCCAAACATAAATCTAAAGCAGTGGACAAATTTACTACGAAATGACATTAAGCCTCAAACATTATTTAATTAAAACACATATATTTCACTGTTTAACTTCCACACTTTGCACATAAGTGCCCAGAGCTTCAAATCCCAACATGCCCTCCATCCTGCACAATGGGTTGGACTTGTTTACGCAAGCTGCTTTTACCTCCATTTGCAATCCCTTTCACAAAGCTGATTAGCCTGCGCGTTAGCATCCAGGTGGTTGTTTGTGTTCCTCCTCCTCGGCTGCATTGGCGTGGTAATGAGCCAGTTAGTGATGAAAGATGTGAGAACAGCGAGTCTAATGGGTACATCAGCATTTCTACTGATCTCTGCCTGCACAGGGTGTGTCTGTCTGATCTTGTATGAGCCAAGACTTACAGGAGGGGGTTGATGGTGTAGGTGTGTGTAGGGGGTGAAGAATACAGAAGACTACAGATTAGTCTTTGATGACTGGCTGTTTTGTATGTGTCTGTAAGGCACTGCTAAATTTAAAAAAGGGTACGAGCTAGAGTCACCATACATTTGAACATCATCATTTAACAATTATGGTTTGTTTGCATGTATTTTGGTTATACAAACCCTGGATGATTTTCTTACCCTCCTATTATAAATATATAAATTCTAAATAGTGATTACCCCAAAGGCGTCAGTATATCTAAAAAAAACAATGCTGAACTGAACTTCTTGCTGCCCTGAGATGACAAGTTGCATGATGGCTTCTTCAGTGTTCCCTTGACTTACCGTGCAGATTAGTCACTGAAGTTGTGTTTTCAGTAATTGGGTGTTTTGGGCATGAATTGCGAGACCATCAGTCTCTCTTTTGTTGTCTGAAAAGGGTTCAAATGATCTCTCATTCTTTCTCCAGCACACAGTTTCTGGAGTCCCTTTTCCCAATTACCATTTGCTTGCGACAACAAGGCCCTTTTAATGCAATCGTTTTGATTGCATTTAAGTCAGTAGTTGAAGATTGCTATTAAAAGTAGTATTAGCACGATAGAAAAATACATTAATGTATACATTAAAAGTCTTGCACTAAAATAGAAGTATTATCTGCAAAATCAGCAAAAGAAAACTTCCTCACAGCTTTTGGTGATGCGGTACTTTACATAGTGTAGGGTAGTGTCATACTTGCATGATATTATTAAAGATGTTTATTATAGTCTTGGCAATCTGGATTTGGAGAATATAGAGGTGATATTGAATTTTTTTTTAAATCTGATAACAATATATCTGTTGATATCTATATACACACATATTTTATATAAACACATAACCTGACTGGACTTTTTTTGCCCATTCTCTGGTGACAAAATTATGTAACAGAGACTGTGTATCTAAATGACCACAAAAACATTTTTACTATTTCTGTACCAATGCTGAAACAATTCAATCCATCAACAGATAAGCAGCAATTTTTATAATTTATGCCAAAATCTGTTAGCTCCAGCTTCTCAAATGTGAGGATGTGCTACTTTTCTCTGTTTCACTGTAAACCAAATGTCTTTGGGCTTTGTCAGACAAAACAAGACATATAAATTAATTGTGATCAGCATTTTTCACTATTGTCTGACATTTAAAAGTCTAAACAATGAACTACTCTTAGAAAAAAAACGATCAGCAAATTCCCAATATTGAATATAATTGTTACATGCAGCCCTCTTCTCTACTGCAAAGACTTTCTTCCAATACAGTGATATAGGCTGCAATATCACCCTGGCCGATTTATTTAACCCATAAAATCATATACACATTTATATTAAGGAGTGTAGGCTGAACAACAAATACGTCAATGCAGTTCAACAGCACCACAAACTACATCTTTCAAAATGACCAAACCGTTGAATCAACACCACTGTAAAACCGTTTAAATAAAAAACAAACATTATAATGAAGGTAGGATTTATTGCAGGACTGTTTATTAGATTGCATTAGTTTTGGCTGGGTGTAACTAAAAAAAATGGCAACTGAGTGGAGGTTTTTAATCTAAAAATGAAACCATATTATCATCTTGTTGCTGCTGTTTACATTCTCCCCACATGCAAATTCAAAGTGCCCTGCAGAATGTTCTGGGTATACGTGTCTGGATATAGCTTTTGTATATAAATAACTGTATATAGCCTATTAATTTACAGTATTTGAATACAAATGTAATTATCTGTGTAAGTTCTGTGTGTATGTGGCACAAAGGGAATACAAACTTTTGTTTTGTTATCCAACCTTATGTTTTAATATAGCCGCAAGCAGCAATGATCGGGATCCAAGCAAGTTGTAAGAAATGCAACATTTGACATTTTCTGAGGAGAAGAACAGATGTAGATCACCTAAGAGATTAAAGTGATAAAAGAATTTGGAGTCTGAGCTAATTGGTAGAACGCAAACATGATTTTTACAGCATCACCTTGGGTGAAATGTTCCAATCACCTGCAACATTTTGTGTTTCCAAGTTTAAGCTACACAAACACTAGATCTAAAGATTTAGCTGTGAAAAATTGGAACAAAGTGTCACAGGATCCAAATAAAATAGAAAACAGACTCACAAAGCCAATTTTGATTTACAGGCATTCATGTAAAATTGTACATAAAGGAACAAAAAAAAACAGATTGACATATCAAGATTATTTTGATAACTTTTGATCAGTGATGTCCTTAGATGATCCTGCCAAAGTTTCAGGTCGATTGGCGAAATCGTCTGAAACGAGTTTGCAAATAGGTTTTAGAGAAAAGTGATGAAAGAAGTTTGACTCTAAACAAAAAACAGTTGAAAAAGTTGATTGTTATAGTGCCACCTTGAGGTTTGTGAGCCATTTTCTTTGCCTGAGTAGTGGGTGGAGTTTTTGCTGCCCAAACACTTTAAGCAGAGAAAAAGAAGAAGCAGAAGAATGAGAGCAAAAACAATAGGGCTCCAGCAGCTTTGCTGCTTGGATCCCTAATAATGACAAATAAAGAACCTTGTACCTTGTTTTGTATGTAAAATGAGTAAATTGACTAAATTGACTAAAATACTGTTTATAATGTTTGTACCGCGCCCTCCTCTCCGGTTGGGGCGCTGTTTGTTTCCATGACGCTGAAAACGCTGACGGCTGCAGGTCCCTTTAACTGAACTCACATGGAACTCCTGGCCGGTTCTGCCCCGCGTGCTGGCAGTTGAAGTATTAACGGACCAGACCGAGCAGGAGGCTCGAATCTGTCAAACTCTGCTTCCCGGCTCGATAACTTCACACGGATCCGACTATTTTTAAAGTGAACTTTCACGGAAAACTCGGTAGCTAGCGATTATAGCTGGACACAGAGGAGTTGTTTACATATTTGACAGGTGTAACTTAGCATACTTGGGGACACCGTTGATAAACCCCTCCGCGAAAGGACAACTCGCATTATCTCGACAGGTTTAATAGAAATATTAGCGTTAACCGATTGACCGACGGTGATAGCACTGAGCAGTCGAGATGACAGAGGAACTTGAGCAAATTCTTTTACAACTGACACAGCCTGACAATGCAGTTATTCAGCAGGTAACGCCACAAATAACTTTCTTCAAGTTAG